GGTGACAGTAAAGGTGAAGAGATATTTTTAACAGTGTTCATTTTGGAAACAAAAAAAAACTTGGTTTCTAAATTAACTTAATTTAGTCTTATTTGATTTTGTTTTGTTATGAAACTATGTAATGTTAAAAGATCATAATTTTTAGAAGAAAAATATAATGGTGACAGTAAAGGTGAAGAGATATTTTTTAACAGTGTTCATTTTGGAAACATAAAAAAAACTTGGTTTCTAAATTAACTTAATTTAGTCTTATTTGGTTTTGTTTTGTTATGAAACTATACAATGATAAAACATCATGCCAGGAAATTGATAATAACTTTTTTAAGACTATCATTTTAGGAAGAAAAATAATTCTAATTTTTATTTAAAATCCCTAGATATTCTTATTATCATTAGTACTAATTGTGAGATATATCTGAATACATGTATACAGCTTTATATTTTATGGGATCTATAGAATTTATCTAGAATTATTAGAATTTGTCAAGAATTAGGCATTTTACTGAAGTTTGAAAGAGGATACACATTAGGGATGCCTATATTTTGCTAATAATGATTCCTTGTTAATAAATAAAGATCTGTTGTAGAATTTATCAAGATTTAGACATATTACAGAAGTTTGAAAGAGTATATGCATTAGGGATACCCAAGTTTTCCTACAAATGATTTCCAAACAAAGTATAAAATTGCGTTGTGAAATTAGACATCATATTGGAGTTCGAAAGAGGATGTACATTAGGGAAGCCTAAATATTCTTTATAATAATTTGTTGATAGTAAAATTTTGTTGTGAAATTTTTCTAGATTGAGACATTTTTGCAAAAAATTGTAAAATGATATAATAAAATGTACGTAAAATGATATTCCCAAATTTCTCTAATAATGATTTCTAAATAATATATAAAGTTATGTTGTAGAATTTATCTGAATTTAGACATTTTACAGAAGAAAATATTGGAGATGCCCAAACTTCTGACTCACTCTTGATCGAACTATTGGGTTCATATTTTCCAGATAGTTCTCCCCCCCCCCCCNTATGCAGGGTGCTCTGTAATGACTACCTTCTATATATATATATATATAGCATAATAAATAAAAACAAAAAAACACGAAGAAAATTAAGAAAAACAGTAAGTTTTATTTATTGCTCATAAGCTGCAAGTAAATAGAACTCATAAAATAAGTTCAAAATGTAGAGAAAACAAGGGGAAAATTACAGAACAATGAAAAAGGGGGGGGAAATAATAAAAAATAAATAAAAAAACGGGAAAAAAAGGGACAAAAAATTTCCAAAAATCCGGAAAATAAAAGGTAAAATCTTTTCATCAGCTCACACAATTGTATCTATTGTATCTGCAATATATATATATTAGAATACACATCAGTGGTTGAGATTGAAAATAAATATTTAAAAAGGGGAAAAAATCTTTTCAAAATCTAATTAATTAATATCAAGAAAGGGGGATTTAAAAAGTCAAAACCTGTTTGATGCCAGGAAATACCAGGTAAAGTTGAAAAGTTGTTATTAGAAACAACTCTGAGTTTTCTCATGCAATCAAACTGATTTTTATGTGTTTCATGGAACCTTTCTAACTAATGATGAGCTATATTTCTATGGAATTTTTCTTTCTCAATTCCCCTAGTGTTTTTTCATCAACATTTTTGACAAGGACTCTTAAAGTTGTCATGGGCAGTTTTTACAGAACACAAAAAAGTTTTAAATAACTATTCTACAATTTGATGGGTTTTGGGGATATTTTTTCTACCAGCAAAGTTATTGAAACATTAATAATAATAAAAATGTACTGTTGATTTTGTTCATTTTATGTATTTTTTAACACTTGTTTTGTTTTGAGACATTTATGTTAATATTTTTTTATTACAAAAAAATTATATCATAGTCATGCAGATAATTAAACAAATCTAGTGAGCGTAAGTGTATCATAAGCTGAAGTAGTGATACACATTAAGTTTTATGGGATGCATTATTTTAATGAATCTTTTCATGATGAGGTGAATAATTCTTTTTTTTTTACAATATTTGTGTGAAGAACATAAAAATTTCGTGCTTGGCTGAAATCATTATCTGTCAAATATTTATGCCAGTGCTATATTTTAGTTTTGTACTTAAATTATTGAGGGCATTAACTGTTAAAATTTTCCTATTAAATCTTCTTTTGTCTGGAGGTGAAAATGGAGTATTTCTGAAATTTCTATTGTAAATTGTTTTGTTTTTTAAAGTTATTTATTTTTTAGTTCCCTCCTGGTATAAAAACTGGAGATGGCGGAATGTTTGATATGAAGTTTTCCAATAATGTCTATAATTCACTGAGAACATATTCTGTTGCTGAAAACAAAAGAGGTCAAAGATTACATGACAAAAGAGAAAAGTCTACTGCTGTAAGTTTAAAAACATGCCATAACTAATATGGTTGTATAGTTTTGTTATTCATTCACATTAAAGAGCATTTTGTGTTTTTGGTTTTATTAAAGTGTAATTTTTTTTTCTATATAGGAAAAAGCATTAGATGAAAAAACAAGCCTGATTCTTTTTAAACTTCTGAATAATAAAATTTTGAAATCATTAACTGGATGTATTAGCACTGGAAAAGAAGCATGTGTGTATCATGCTTGGAGTGGAATGTAAGTTTTATTTTGACATTTTCTTTTTTTCCTGGAAACTTTTAAAATCTCCTGTTTTAAATAAAGTGATATTAAAATTAAAAGCAGCATAGTTTATTATTCTATATCCTTTACTCTTTTTAAAAGTAGTCTATATGCATAGTATACCAAAAGATGTTTTTTTTTTTTTTTTTNTTTTTTTTTTTTTTTTTTTGAACTATTTCATCTTAATTTTTTGTTTGCCCAACTACAAGGCCTAATAATGTTTTTAGTGTATACTATATTGTATTTTTAAAGCATAGTGTGTATAAGTATATCTGTAGAATATTTTTTTTAAAGAAAAAGAAAAAAAAACATTTGTCTAGATTTAAATAGTTTTTTTTTCTATCTAATTTAATTATTAAAAACAAATTATGGAACTTTGAATAAAAGAAAAGTTTGTCAGTTTTTATTTGAATTTAAAATTATGTTGATTAATAAGCACTTTAATTGTAGAAGTTTGGTACTATATTCAAACAAAGATAAGAAGTTTTTACAGATTTTTAAATTCGACTTGGAAGAATTTTTTTTTCTTGAAAAAACATTAAATATTATAAAATTTTAAGTTTATAATTGCTAATCTAATAGTATTGATTTCCTACTTATTAATTTCTCTAAATTATCTGTATTTTATTACGTCACATATTCTGAACAAAATTATTATTGGAAAATAATAAAAAAAAAACAATTATATTGAAAATTAATTTTTTGGGATAAATCTTAATGAAGTAATGTTTAATAAAAGAAACTATTTTCAGTAGTTATGAAAATTAAATCTGTAAACACAAGTAATTCTATCTGCTTGCAATTATTTTATATATAATTCTACTTTAAGATAGAATGTACATTAAACTAAAAATAATTTAAGTGCACCTAATTCATTTAGTATAAGTGTAGTTATAGTTATTTAGAAAAATAAAGATAATATAAATTGTGTTTAAAATTAAATTATAGTAATCGATGTTATATTGATTATAAAAATTTGTATAAAGGTAAAATTTCTAAAAATATATATCTTTATTAAAACTGCAAATCTAAAATTCTTCATACTGCATCAACTTTAATTTAAAATTCAAACTATACTTATTATGCTTGGCTAAATATTTGTATTGGTCATTTTTCATATCTTCCATTGCTTTTGATATTCTCCAATTTTTTGGTAGCAATAAGTTT